TGTGTGTGTGTGTGTGTGTGTGTGTGTGTGTGTGTGTGTGTGTGTGTCCCACTCGCCATCCTCAGGCTGGTGCTTTCGGCTTCGTGCCAGTGCAAGCAGAAACGTCACCAAGATACTCTTAATCTTACACAGGAAAAAACCCGAACACACCTAGACCTACATACCTGTACCCGTGAAAATCTACGAATATATATACGAAAAATAAAACTAATAATAAACTAATATAAAGTAAAAAAGAAAAGAAGTAAAGAGAAGACAAAACAATGCAAGAAAAGAAAAAAGTTAAAGAAAAATAGAAAAGGAAAAAAATAAAAAGAAATGGCTTCCAATGTTCTTTTCAGCAGTTATAAGTACAATTTAACCTCTCTAAACTTACAGTACATTATGACACTCTTCTTTCTATAATTTGTATGTCTAATCCTCAAAGATATAAATCACATTCAATATGTAGTCCTCAATATCTACATGGAAGTAAGTAAGTGGTGGAGTATCCCCAGGTTCTATTTTAGGCCCAAAACTCTTCAAAATCTTCATAAATGATTTAGATGAGGGAATAGAAGGGGAACTCATAAAATTTGCAAATAACACTAAGTTGGCAGGAATAGCTAACACCTAAAATAATAGGCTCAAGATACAGATGAATCTAAACAGACTTGAACACTGGACCCTGTCCAACAAAATGAAATTCAGTGTAGAGAAAAATAAGGTCTTACACTTAGGCAAGAAAAACCAAACATATAGTACAGATTAGTTGAAAGCTAGCTCAATAGCAGTAACAGGGACAGGAATCTTGGAGTCCTAGTAGACAATTAAATATGAACCAGCAGTGTGCAGCCGCAGCCAAAAAAGCCAATAGAGGGATAGAATCAAGATTATGTGAAATGCTGGCATAGCTTTATAAAGCCTTACTAAGACCACATCTGGAAAACTGCATCCAGTTTTGGTCACCAGATTATTAAAAAGTTGTTGAAACTTTGGAAAGAGCAGGGCAACAAAGATGATTAGAAGCCTGGAAACTAAAACATACGACGAACATTTGCAGGAATTGGGTATGTCTAGTCTAGTGAAAAGAAAGACTGGGGGACATGATAGCAGTATTCCAATATTTGAGGGGCTGCCACAAAGAAGAAGAGTCATTCTATTTTCCAAACAAAGCACCAGAACACAAGACAAAAAAACAATTGTTTTGATTAGTTGGCAACTAATTAAGGAGAGAAGCAACCTAAAACTAAGGAGAAATTTACTAACAATGAAAACAATATCAGACTTGCCTTCAGACATGGGTTCTCCATCGCTGGATGGAATGGGACAACCAGCCACAGCCAACTCGCCATGGCCAACTTGCCACAGGACAATTTAACAATTCAGTTTAATTTTTTAAAATAAATATAAAATTATTTTACATGCTGTCATTCACATTTCATTTTGTCATTATCACTCTACCCTTTGAGAGTCTCCTAGGATTACCCACTCTGATTTAATGGTGGTGATTGGTGAAGTTTTTGTTTCTATGTTTTGTTGGGAACTTCAGCATGACTATGTTCAAGAGGAGGAGGAGCCATATTTTCTCATGCAGAGGAATATGGAGAGTGAATGGAGGACATCAGACCCTACTTGTCTTTCAGGTTAATGCCAATGGGAGTGTCCTGCTGAGTGAAATAGTGGGTTCCATCAAACTGAAGGTGTTCCTTTCTGGTATGCCAGAGCTACGCCTGGGCCTCAATGATAGGGTGCTTTTCGAGCTCACAGGACGTAAGTAAATCATAGTGTGATGACATGAGCATTTGGGGAGGAATGGCATAAGCATTTGGGGTGGATGGCATGAGCATTTGGGGAGGAATGAGGAGTTTCGGATTTGAGTCTCATATCAATAATGTCTTTACACTTTCATATCTATCTATGGAATGTGTCAGATTGGTTATAAAGTTAGGAGAACAAGCTAGTCTGCAATTTTGCTTTGAGAATGTCTATTAAAGTCCATACTGTTAGAGTTTGCAGCAATCCAATCAACACACAAGTAAATAATTCAGCAGGATTCATTTATAGAAGAAATTTGTTTATATACAATAATCTAAAACATAATGCATTATACAATACCCATGTAGCTCTTGCAATGTTGGTACCAAATACAAGAACAAGAAGCAGAAGCCATCAGAACCACCAAAAACACAGAAGCTCTATATTTATACAGACCAGTTACCCTACGCCGTCTGGTATAGCTCACAACAGGTGCTGTATTTTTGTCACCAAACAGTTCCCATTAGCTGACTAGTTATTATATCTATCCCAGCTCATAATTTCTTATATACTGGCACTCCTCCCTTTATGACTGGAATAAACATAAAACTGAATAACTGAATAATATTTTTCCCATGGTGCACTTCACCAATGGCTTCATTATATCTGCCAGATTGTCCTCTGAAGAACAGTGAAGCAATTTACATTTGATGGGTTTTTCTGACATTACAATACTTAATGTCCACATGCTTGTTTCTATTTTTCACTCTATCACCTGTTGCCATTTTAACGGAAGCAGGATTATCCTGAAACACTGTTACAACATCATTTACCTTTACGCTTAAATCCTGTAACAGCTGTACGTACCAAGTTACCTCTGAACAAAGTTCAGATGGAGCTATAAATTCTGCCTCCACAGTAGAAATGGCTACAGTTTTCTGGACTTCCAATCAGTTAAGGCCCCTTCAAACAATACCACAATCCCAGAATTAGACTTTCTGGTTTTTACATCATTGGCATAATCACTGTCTACATAACATTTCAATTGCTATTCTTCAGAGATCTGTATTTGAAGACCCAAGTTCACAGTTCCCTTCAAATACCTGAGAATCCTTTTTATACCCATCCAATGCAATTGCATTGGTGCAGCAGTAAAGTGACTTAAGATGCTTACTGCCCAAACTATGTCTGGTCTGGACCACTGTGACAGTTATAATAGGCTCCCTGTTGCTGACTGATCACAGGCTTCACTTTTGTCCTCACCCAAACTATTATGAAAATCTATACTCATAGGTGTTGGAGCAGAATTACAATCCTTCATGTTCTATCTCTCCAACAGCTGTTCAATTTTCTTTCTTTGAGAACCTTTCTCAGTTTTTTGTACCTCTACACTGAGATAATTTTGTATTTCACCCAAATCTTTTATTTCAAAATTTTTCTCTAATTGATTAGCAATTTTTTTCTGTGACAAATGAAACAAAGATGATCCACAAATGCTAACAAATGACAATCCCCACATTGTAACTTTCCAGTATACATGCAACCATCAGCTTTACAATTCTTGAACCCAAGACCCTTCAATGCTGTATCTAAACAGACATTCCAATTCCTGGCTGACTGTTTCAACCCATAAATGGCCTTGTTCAATTTATATACAATGTTAGGCTTTTTACTTCCATACCCTGGTGCTTGAACCATATAAATTTCTTCTTCTCATTCCTCATTAAGGAATGCTGTGGTTATATCAAAATGCCAAATTTTATGGTCACGTGCCACTGCCAATGCTAGCGTCAACCTTATGCTTTCGCTCTTTACAGTTGGTGTGAATACCTTGTACAAATTTTTCCTCTGAAAAACCTTGTGCCTCTAATCTTGCTTTATATTGTACCTCATTGTTGGGTAGTATTTTTTTTTTTGTAAACCCATGGCTTTGCAACCTTGTGGCAAAGTAATAGATGTGAACCATGGATTTAATTTCTTTGTCCATGGCTTCTTTCCACTTAATTTGTTCAATTTTGGGTAATGACAATACTTCCTTATAGTTCCTTGACTCATACCATACATTACACATTTTAACTTTACTAGCAGTATACCTGTCAGGTGGAATTTTCTTGTTCCATTGCTCTGTCCTGCGTGGTGTGACTGCTCCTGTGTTTCAACCCTCTCTGGCTTAATATCTGAGTCATCATCTTCTCCTGACTCCTTTTCTAGTTCTTTTTTAGTTTCTCCTCCCTAAATGCTGACACTGTCACTAAGTGAGTTATTGTCACTAAGTGGATCACCATCACTAAGTGGAAAAATTGGCATCAATTCTGTTCCAATTTTGCTCTGCAAAACTAGCAGAACTTGAAATCATATTATTTTGCTTCCATCGCGAAAGCGATAGAACCCATAAACCCGAGCTTTCTAGCCTTTGATTGACCTTTTCTCCTTTTGGAATATGCACCCATGTATTGCTTCCAAACACCCTTAAATGTGCCAGAGATGCCTTTCTCCCATACAACATTGCATATGGAGTATCATTTATAGATGAACTCCACAGCCTATTGATTAAATAATTAGCAGTCAACATGGCTTCACCCCAATATGACCCGCTCAGACCAGAATCCTCCAGCAGTGAGTCCTTCATTGTCTGTAAGAAACCATTCCGCCTCTCAGCAACACCATTATCAGTTGCTGTGTACAGATTTGTGCATTTGTGTTTTATTCCTAACTGTCCCAACCACTGTTGAAAACTTGCTGATATGATTTCTAAACCTCTATCAGTTTGCAGCTGACATACCTGTTGCTTATATCTCCTTTCTACAAAGCTTACTTATTGCTTAAATTTCTGTGGCACCTCTATTTTACTCTTTAGTAAATAGCAGAAACAAAATCTGCTGTAATCATCTACAATGACCAGCGCATATTTTGCTCCTCTCAAACTAGCTTGCATTGGCCCCACCAAATCTGCATGTATAAGCTCTAGAGCTCTTGTTGTCTGCCTTGTGCTACTCTTGCTTACTAGGAATGTCTTGGACTTTGATGATTTACATACTGCACAGTCCAAGTATGCCTTATGCCCTTTTAAATTTAAACCTTCTACAAACTGTTGCATCTTTTGCAAAACTTTGAAGCTGGCATGGCCAAGCTTTCTATCCAAGAGATGAATGCATGAATCATGTTGTGCCACATTTCCAAATGTTTGGGCACATTGAACCTTTTGTCCCTGCAACACATAAAGATTATCCTGTTTTATGCCCTGTGTACATACACTTTCATTCCTTTTTATGATACCCTTCCCATTTACAAATATGGTCTCAAACCCTTTTTGGTCTAGACTAGAGACACTCAGTAAATTATGCTCCATTTCGGGCACACATAATATGTTACTAAACTTTTCCTCCAGACATGGAATCAGCACACTGCCTTTTCCTGTGACTTTAGCCTTCTGGCCATTTGCAAAACTACTGTATTTCCTCCAGCTGGATCCATTCTGTAAAACAATTTTGAATTATTAACAATTGTTTGACTAGCCCCACTTCTATTAACCATTTGTCTCTGCTTTTACAATAGCTAACTTTTTCAACAGCAGCTTGTTAACCTGTTGTTTTTCTTCCTTGCAAACAGTCTTTCTGTTTGATTCATCACCACAAATGAAACATTGTCATACTTTTTCTTTCTCTTTCTTCATAGAAAATCTTTGCTGGGTTCTCTGGTCTTTGCAGATATCTTGTCTGTTGCTTTTCTCTATCTGCTCCCTGGGCCCCCACCTGAGGAATTTCTCCTTGTGGCTATTTCTAAAATGGCATTTGTTTTCTTCAGAAAGCAAACAGGCTTTAAGGGCTTCCATTCATAAGACCTGTTTGCACTCAAAAACAGCTGAAACAATGTCCCACGTTTCATCAAGATTATTTCATACCATCAGCACCTTCTGAGATTCAGGAGTCTGCATTCCATGTTGTTCCAATTCAATAAATAAACTCCGCATGTGCAACAAATGCTGTTCCACACTCGCTTGTGGCTGCATCCAGGCTCTGTACAATTGCTTTGATAATTCCACAATATTGCATGCTGATGCACTCACATGCATACTTCTCAATTTCAGCCATACCTCAGTTGTAGTCTTTAAATCAACTACAGTCAAGAATTGTTCATCTTTTAAGCTTAATATTTATTTATTTTATTTTTATTTATTTTATTTTGTCAAGCGATTATAAGATAACAAGTATAAGTATAAACATAGTTATGAATACATGAAATGGATACATATAAGAAAAATAAAAAAAAACAATGGGACAGGGATGGTAGGCACATTGGTGCGCTTATGCATGCCCCCTACAGACCTCTTAGGAAAGGGGTGAGGTCAATAGTAGATAGTCTAAGGTTAAAGTTTTTGGGATTTGGGGAAGAAACCACAGAGTCTGGTAGAGTATTCCAGACATTGACCACTCTGTTGCTGAAGTCGTATTTCCTGCAATCAAGTTTGGTGCAGTTCTAGATTTTCTAGGTCTAGAATTTCAAGTCTGGTGGCATAAGATATTCTGCAATGAGTAGAGGAGTGGAGAACTCTTCAAATGATGTAGGCCAGTGCCTTATCATGCCGCCTTTGATCTGTTGCTGCTAATGGTGCCTGGGGTGGATTAATAACAATATCCCAGAGCTCCTTTAGGAATTACTCCAATTTTGCAGCCCAAATAATATAATTCTTCTGTCCCAATTGAGGCAGAGAGCTTTCCTTTTAACACAGGCTGTCCTTCAGCTGAATTACAGTTCAGTCTTACTGTGTGCTTGGTGTGCTCTGGGCCCATAACCTGTTAATGTTTGCAACAATCCAACCAGCACACAAGTAATAATTCAGCAGGATTCATTTATATTAGAAATTTGTTTATATACAATAATTTAAAACATAATGCATGTATACAATACCCATGCACCTCTTGCAATGTGGTAGCAAATACAAGAACAAGAAGCAGAAGCCATCAGAACCACCAGAAACACAGAAGCTTTATATTTATACAGACCAGTTACCCTAAGCCACGCCCAGTCTCCAAGCTGTCTGGCATGGCTCACAACAGGTGCTGTTTCTTAGTCACCAAACAGTTCCCATTAGCTGATTTGTTGTTATGTCGATCCCTGGTTATAATTTCTTATATACTGACACATATATTTTGGTTTAATTTCAATAGACTATGCTGTAATTTTAAATTGGAATTTTGTATTGTTAAGTTTTATTTAGTTTTTTGTTTTCCCCTCCACAAAGCTGTTCATAACTTTATATGTTTCTTTTGCAGCATATTCATGGGATTTGATTATCAGAAATGAGGGCTCATTGTTTTTCTTTTATTTTGTGAAACTCTGCTTCCATTGAAGGCTTCCACCAAAAACAGGCAATTGTTTCTTATTACATCTAGTATACCAAAGATTATATTTGTCTTTTAATAACTGTACTTCTGACTTTCAGGTGGAAAAAATAAGTCTGTAGAACTGGAGGATGTCAAGTTCCACCAATGTGTACGACTATCACGTTTTGACAATGATCGTACTATTTCATTCATTCCGCCTGATGGAGATTTTGAGCTTATGTCATATCGCCTGAGTACACAGGTAGATCTTTGAAGTGTTCCTGGAAATGAAACACACAAAAAAATATCCCAGGACTCAGTGGTGGGATTAAAAAAAAATTACTACCAGTTCTGTAGGCATGGCTTTGTGGGAATGGCTTTGTGGGTGTGGCAGAGGAAGGATACTGTAAAAACTCCATTCCCACCCCACTCCAGGGGAAGGATACTGCCAAATCCCATTCGCTCCCCATCCCACTAACCTGCTTTCCAGCTCCATTTTCCTGTGCAGGGCAACAAAAGAAGACGCAGCCGATCACCTGGGTCTTGGGAGGCAGAGAATAGATGGGGAAGGGGCCAGTCAGAGGTGGTATTTGCTGGTTTTCTGAACTACTCAAAATTTCCACTACCGGTTCTCCAGAACTGGTCAGAACCTGCTGAATACCCCCTCTGACGGGACTTTACTCACAACAACCATTATCTCATGTACCATCTTCCCTTTGCTGAGATAGGTATCCTTCCTTTGCTTGTGGATTCACGAAGATAACACCTACACTTTGCTAAGGATTGATGTCCAAGTGTGGCAGTTGCCTATTTATAAAATAGTAGAAATTGCTGTAGAAGGGAGGCTTTATTTTGGTAGAGAACAACAGAAAATATGTCCAGATAATTAATGGTTTCCTTTTTCAAGTAGGCTGATTCTTTGCCAATCAGAAAACTGTCTATTGAAAAACTTTACAAGTATGATAAATGCCTAATAATGGCTGTATATAGTTTCTGGGCTCAAACTTCGCAGCAACAAGCCAGCCATGTATATAACACATTCAGTCCAAAAGAGTCATATAGTTTAATGCAAAGTATGAACTCAGTGTTACACAAGATAATTAGATATGCTCTAGGATAAAATCTCAGCACTTTTTTATTTTGTGTATTTTGCCAGCAAAATATAATTAAATATGTTGTCTGGTGCTGCAATGATTGGAATGCAATATTGTGGCACAGCCCACAGTCTGCAGTTTGATCCTGATGGGGCTCAAGGTTGATTCAGTCTTCCATCCTTCCAAGATTGGTAACATGAGGACCCAGATTGTTGGGTGCAATCTGTTTATATTGCTGTAAAGCACTGTGGGAGTTATATACAATAAATTCAAGTGCTATTGCTAAATGGAATACAATACTTTTCAGCTAAAGATAGTCAGGGCAATTTTGCTACCCATGACTATCATTCTTATTGGTTCTTAAGTAGTATTGATGACAATTTTGCAGTTGATAAGTAAATTAGCCATTCTTTTATACAGATTAAACAGAGTTGAAAGGGACCTTATAGATCATCTAGTCCAATCCCCCGCTCAAGCAGACCCTACATCATTTTTGACAGATAGCAGTCCAGTCTCTTCTTGAGAGTTTCCAGTAATGAAGCTCCCACAACTTCTGAGGGCAAGCTGTTCCATTAGTTGCTTGTTCTCACTGTCAGAAAATTTCTCCTTATTTCTAGGTTGAATCTCTCCTTGATCGGTTTCCATCCGTTATTCCTTGTCTGGCCTACAGGTGTCTTGGAAAATAGCTTGACCACTTCCTCTCTGTGGCAGCCCCTCAAATATTGGAAGACTGCTATCATGTCTCCCCTGGTCCTTCTCTTCACTAGGCTGGCCATGCTCAGTTCCTGTAATCGTTCTTCATATGTTTTAGTCTCCACTGGTCCCCTAATCATCCTGGCTCTTCTCTGCAGTTTTTCTAGTCTCAACATCTTTTTTATAGTTTGGTGACCAAAACTGGTTGCAGTATTCTAGGTGTGATTTTACTAAGGCTTTATAGAGTAGTATTAGTACCTCACTTGATCTTGACTATATCCCTCTGTTAATGCAACTTAGGATTGTGTTGGCTTTTTTGGCTGCCACCACACACTGCTGGCTCATATTTAACTGGTTGCCCACTAAGATTTCAAGATCCCTATCACAGTTACTGCTATTAAGCCCGGTTTTATCCAGTCTATATGCATACTTTTGGTTTTTCTTGCCTAAGTGTAGGACTTTAGTTTCTCTATGTTGAATTTCATTTTGTTAGATAGGGCCCAGTGTTCAATTCTGTCAAGATCCACCTTGATCTTGAGCTCATCATCTAAGGCCAGGGTGTCAAATTCAATTTCATTGAGAACTGCATCAGGGTTGTGTTTGACCATGGAGGGCCAGGATGGGCATGGCCGGGTGTTGGGGGCACCTGTGGTGGTCAAGTGCTAAGGCAGGTCTTCCCTGAGACCCTCCCTCATTCTCATTATAATCTTCCTTCCTTTTCTTCTTTTTCCTTCCCTCTTAACTTTTTTTTCTTCCTTTCCATCTGTCCTTCTTTTTCTTTTTCTTTCCTCTTTCCCTTTCTCTTTTCCTGTCCCTTCTTGCATTCTCAAATGCAAAAGGGGAAACATTTCTCCTTTTCTTTTCTTTTTAGTTTTGTCAGGGTTTCAGAAAAACCCAACTCCAATTAAACCTCCGAGACAGGCATTTTCCCAAAGTTTCTTTTTATTAGAGTAGGTATATTGGCACATCTGGGAAAACCTGAATCTGAGAGTTCTGGATTTTCCCTTAGTAATTCAAAATTCAAAACCCAACCCCTGCACCCATCAGTCTTATCACATGGTCCAATCACCAACCGTCCCAACTTGGGACATCCCTTCAACCACTCCTCCTCCAGGTGTGGGAATAACATAACTTTGACCGAAAAGAGTAATGCTATTATGTCTAACTATCAATACTCTAAAATCCCCCCTCCTACTTTCCCAGGCACAGGAATGTGGAAGTGTGGAAGCTTCTGGTTCTAATATGGCTTCCAGAGCTGACAGGCATCCCCCATGAAGAAAAAAACACGTCCTGGAAAATAAAATAGACAAAACACAACAAGGGGTTAGTGTTGAGGTAATTCCCCGTTAGGAGAATGAGCGCATACAGGGAGATGTATTTGAGAGAAATGTTTGAATAATACACACACAGCACACAGATACACTGTACAGTAAATGTAGGTTTTTACTTCCAGAAACATTTAAACAAAGTTCAAACACAGTCCAAAGTCATTCACAGGTAAGGCAGTCAATTTTCAGTCCAGGGATAACAATAACAAAGTCCAATAACAAAGTCCACTATCATAAACAGTTCAGTATCAAACTTACATCAAATCCAAGAATAGCAGTCAATTATGAGGAACGGCAATACTCTCCTACAGAAGGAAACAGAGAGACCCACTGAGACTTCTTCTGCGACTAAGACTAAGACTAAACAACCCAGGTTTCTGGCTCCATCTTATGGTCATTTGGGAAACCATGCCCAATTACACTTTTAGCATTCCCTTAAAGAGGCAGTATTAAAATGTCTATCCTGGTTTATATATTTTCCAACCCAAATAGCTGTTAGGTGACTTACATTCCTAACAGTTAGTGCCTAGTCCATCCAGTCACTTAACCACGCCCCCCCAAGGAGGACCCTTTGGCCTATCAGATCATGAAATTGTTTCACTAATCTATCTGCTTTTACATCCCAACATTTCACCCAAGTAGCTTCTGACAAAGTGACCAGGTACTGTAACCAGCCCTTGATTAATCTAGACTGAAGAATTTTCTTAACTTCATAATGTGTTTCACCTTGTACAACTGCAGGTTTGGGAGGAGCAGCTGGGCTGGGCCTCAAAGTAGAGCCTATTGCTGGTTTTAATAAGCTGCTGTGAAATACCAGATGTATTTTCCCTAATATGTGAGGAAGACTAGGCTGAACAGTTACCGGGTTAATTACTTTCACTGAAGGGAAAGGACCGAGGAATTTGGGTCCAAATTTTTTACTAGGTAATCTTAATCTTTATCTCCCACTTTAAATGGTGGTTGGAGAGAACAAGACTTGTCTGTATGTTTGTTGTATTCATCAGCTGTTTCTGCTAAAGCTTTTTTTGTGTTTCCCCACCCTTTTTGTAGGAAGTCCATCCATTCTGTTAGAGATGTGGAAGTAGGTGGTTCCCTAGGTAATTCAGGCATACAGACAAATTCCATGCCAGTAGTTATTTGAAAAGGAGTTAATCCTGTGCTGCTGTGTACTGCATTGTTATAAGCCACTTCTGCAAATGTCAATAAATCAGCCCAATTTTCCTGTTGATAATTTACATAACATCTAATGTATTGTTCCACCATTGCGTTTGAATGTTCTGCTGATCCATTGGTAGCCTGATGGAACACCCCTGGGACATTCCAACTCCCTCCAGAACTGAGCAGTAAATTGGACTCTGCAATCTGATATTACTCACCGCAGAACTCCGTGAAGCTTGTAAATATGCTTCATTAAAAGCTTTGCTAGCTTCTTTGCAGAAGGTAGTCCATTACAAGTGGTGAAATGTGCTTGCTTGGAGAACAGATTGATCCCAGTCCAAATAACTGTATTTCCACCGCTTTCTAGGAGTTTGACAATAAAGTCTATGGCAATCTCCTCCCAGGCTTTCATGGGTTCGGCTACTTGTTGGAGAAGCCCAGAAGGTTTCCCTAGTCTGAGCTTCATGGTAGCTCAAATGGTACAGCTTTTTACATAGTCCTCAACATCAGTTTTCATCCTTGGCCACCAAAATTGTCTTCTGGGAGGTCGGAAATGGAGAGTTTTTAGAGATCAGATGGCCCTCTAGTTGAGAATCGTGACTACACTTTAGCGCCATTAGTCTCATACTGGTTGGCATATAAATTCCTTTCCACGCCAGTCCCTCCCCAAAGTTAAGTCCATTTGGTTCTCTTTAAACTAAATATCGATTGACAGCGCTGCTTTCAAATCTGCTGAAAATTTGTCTTCTGGGAGGTCAGAATGGCATTTGGCATGTGTCCTAGTAGTTGCTTGAGCAGCTGGTTGGGCTTCAGAGATCATTGCATGTTCTATTTCCTCTCGTTGGCTGTCAAATTGGGGTTTTCTGGACAAGGCATCTGCCAATGGATTCCCCCCCCCGCCCCCCGGAATGTATTTTAGTTTGAAGTTGAAGCGCTTAAATTATTGAGCCCACCGGACTTGTTTAGAAGTAAGTTTTTGAGGGGTTTTTAAAGCTTCGAGGTTTTTATGATCACCTCGAAAGGCTCACTAACTCCCTCAAGGAAATGTCTCCAAGATAAGAGAGTCCATCGCACAGCAAAAGCTTCTTTCTCCCAGACTGCCCTTCTGCGTTCAGTGTCCGTTAACTTTTTAGACACATAAGTAGAAAGCATCAGTTCATTTTGAGAGTTCCTTTGAAGTAGAACTGCCACTACAGCCATGTCACTGGCATCAGCTTGGACTGTAAAGGGTTTATTTGGATCGGGATGTTGGAAGATGGGCTCTGTTGCAAATAGACACTTTAATTGTTCAAAGGATTTTTGACAATCCATTGTCCAAGTGAGCGGTTGACTTGGCTTTGGCTTGGTCGGAGATGGTCTAGTTCTTAGTAGCTCCATTAAGGGGAGTGCCACCTCTGCAAAAGAAGAGATGAATTGCCTATAAAAGTTTGCAAAACTCAGGAAACTATAGTTGTTTGCATGTTCATGAGGGTTGCCAATCCAGCATAGTCTTTACTTTTCCAGGATCCATTTTGATCCCTTGATTTGACACTCAGTAGCCCAGATAGTCCAAAGCCTCCTTGTGAAATTCTCATTCTGAAAGCTCTGCATAAAGGTTGGCAGCTAAAAGTTTTTTCAGTACCTGTCTGACTAGTTTTACATGTTCTTCCAAATTCTCACTAAATATAAGAATGTCATTCAGCTAAACCAGGACCCCCTTATACAGATGTTCATGTAGCACCTCATTGATCAGCTGCCTAAAAACTGTGGGAGGCCCTTAAAGTCCAAAGGGCATGACTCAGAATTGGAAACTACCCAGTGGGCAGTTAAAAGCCGTTGTCCATTTGTCTTCTTCTCTTATGCAGACTTGGTAATAGGCTTCTCTTAAATCCACCTTAGTAAAAATCTTGCCTTTTGACAAGTGGTTCAGCAAGTCCTTCATTAGGGGTAGGGGTTACATATTTTGTACGCACATGGTATTGATCCCATGGGAATCAACGCATAATCTAAGCCTCCCATCTTTCTTTTCTTTAAATAGTACTGGAGCTGCCTCTTTTGATTTTGCTGTCTCAATAAATCCCCTAACTAAATTAGCATCAATGTACTTTCTCAGTTCAGTCATCTTGGCAGGCGTCATTGAGTACATTTTTAGTTTTGGCAGCTTGGCCCCAGGTTCTATTTTGATGGCACAATCAGTGGTCCGATGAGGAGGGAGGATATTGCATTCCTCCACACTAAATACTTTGGCTATGTCTCTATATTCCTTAGGAACTGGGGCAGGGGTGGGATGCTACTGGTTCATCCCAATTATGATTTTTCTGAATCCATCTTCCCACTTAATGCTAGGGACCCACTTGTCTAGCCAAGCCAGACCCAGAATGATAGCTTCTGACAGTTTTGGTGCTATTACAAATCGAATAAGTTCACAATGTCTTCCTATCTCTAATCTGACTAGTTCTGTAACTTGGATGGCTAGTGTCCCCCCAATCAAAGTTCCATCCACCTGCTCAAATCTAATTAGGTATTTTAGGGCTCCAGTCTTTATTCCTAATTGTTCAATTGGAAGCCTAATTAAACACTGGTATCCTGTATCAATTACTGCTTCTAATTCTCCTTGCTCCCCAGTCTTGGGTACCATCAGCCTCACTTTAATTGTAAAAGAGGGGATGGCTGCACTCACCATTGGGCCCTCTTCCTCGCTAGCTTTTCCTCTGGCCAGAGGTTCCTCGCTATCTTCTGTAGGGAGGGGAACCTCTATGGCTTGTCTTACCAGGTGTTGACCTTTCATTGGCAGAACAGATGAAAAAATTACTTGTGCATCTAACTCCTTAACTTTTTTGCCTAGCTGCTCATAATCACTCAATATTAGTTTCAAATCCTTTTTTTGTGTCATTCACCCCTACATGTAGAAAAGGGTAGTAATTTGTGTGCTTAATTATTTTGGTTAGGTTGTCAGCTACATCCTTGATTTTTGCTCCAGGGAGAAACAAACCTCCCTAGATTGTATCTCCAGTCTGCAGATGGCTGGTTCTGTTCCTTTTAGGGGATGCAGTCTGGGGTGCTTTTCTGTTTATCCCAGGTGAATTTGTTGATGTGACTTTTTAAGGGATATTGGATGATGTCTCTTTTCTAAGTGTTTGCATGTTTTCTTTGAGGAGGAGGTTGTGGGTCTGAGTATTTTCAACTAGGGGGAGAAATCAGTTGCTCATTTTTAATGGGGCTGCTTCTAATTGGCTTAGATTGGGCAGCAGGGGTTTGTTAGATGTTAGAATCTTTTATTATTGTGTTTTCTTCTATGTGTGACGTACTTTCATTTGTCTTCCTCTAAGGTATATCAGCAAGGTCAAATCCTTTGGGAGTTATTTGTTCATTATTCCGTTCAATTCGGGCATGGCTTTCTTTTGTAGGTTGGAGAGTAACCCTTTGCAATGAGGTCCAGAGACAGTAGCTAACTCCAGAAAGGATAGCTATTATCAGTGCCCCTGATTTGAGATTTACCCGGTTCTTTTATACCTGTTGGGTATATGGATACTCCAACTGGTTTGGGTTGAATAAATATGTAAACCTAGGATTAAGTGCTATGTAGCTTTAAGCACAAGAAACTGCAATGTCATTGTGGGTGCGGTTGCAAGCAGCCATATAGGTAGGAGGGGAAACGTAATAGCCCCGGCTTCTGGATGCAACTGTATGAGTCCGGCTTCTGCATGCACCTGGTTACTGTTCCTGGTCTGCTGCCTACTGTGTTGGTCTATCTGCTTACCTTGGAGGCTACTGTGCCAGATACCATTTCACCTGAACACAAGGACTGTTTGCCTAGTGAGCTGAGGATTCAGCATTGTCTTGGTGAGAAAGGTATCATAGAGAGAAGATTACAAGCAGATAAGGACATTGTATTTACTGTAAATGGACTTGATAACTGGATTGATAAACTGGATACTGACATATGGACTGAATGACTATTCTTAATCTCTGTATGAATTAAATACCTATTTAAACCACAAACAGTGTATTTGTCTCAAGTGTGTGTATACTCCTGGGCCCAGCCTCTCTCTCATTTGGCTGCCTGGCTTGACTGCTGCTGTGCACTCAGCTCAGGGGTTTATCCCCAAACACTAACAATACCCTTCTTCTGAAACCCACCCAGTGATAATCTTACTGGATGTACTTCCCTATTCCTTCAGTTAATTCCATCAATTAACACCCACTTGTAGGTATATGCCAACTCACTTACCATCTGCTACTTTCAGTTCCCCCTTTTCTCAATATCCCAGACATTTGTGATCCAAAATAGCTCTATTTTTGATTGTCCAACAAATATATGTTTTTGCAGAAGTTGCAGATAGCAAATATATTGCTATGCCTGCAAATTCAGCTCAGCAGATTGCAAATATTTTGCTATGCTAGCAAAATTAGCTCAGCCAGTGTTATAATATATTGTTAATTTGAGGCCTTCAATTAGGCAGAGGCCTACACTAACTTTAGGGCCTAGTTGTCCTTTTCTCACAATTCCAACACTTAACTTTAAAAGATTGTAACTAAACTACCAGAGCTTTTGCCCATGAATATATTTAATTGGAGAACGTGATTGATGATACCCAGCCTGTGAACATGCTTATTTGGAGAATCTGATTTATGAGACACCCATGAGGTGGGGGAAACAGGGTCACAGGTGACTGTAAATTATGTATGCCAGAGTTGGCTTCATACAGGACATGCCAGTATGTTGCCTCTAATAAATCCTTTGAAGTTCTTTGATGTTTGGAACATATATTGCATACCACAATAGTATCAGTCACCTGTTCCATGAGTTTGTTTCTTTTTGCTGGTTTTTTTAAGAGTAAAAAGTTTTGTATCTTTTTTTTCTATCCTTTTTTCTACCTTCTTCTGCTTGTTTTTATACCTTGTTATTTATTTTACCATTGTGTTAATTTTATTTATCCCTTTATTCCCTATATTTTTAAAAGTTTTTGAGCTCCAGTTCCCCCCATCTTATTATTTAAGATTTGCCTTATTTATTTGATTGATCTTTATTAATCCTATTCTTTCTTGATTTCTAATTTTCCACTTTTGTCCTTATTATTTGCCTATTTATTTATCTTTTATTTTCTGTCCTATATTTATTTTTATTCTCTACTGGGGTCTTCCCTCCCTGTCTATTGAAACCTCGGGCTTAATTTGTTGCCTTCATTTCCCTTGTTTGATGCTCTGGCCTCTTGTTGTTTTCTCTGCCAGCTGTCCTTTGGTGCTCTGGTCTTTTCAGCCTCCCCCCCTGCTCTGGTAAGCTCTCTCAGCCTGCTGTGGAGCTTTCTGGTGAATTCAGCTCTGCTGTCCGGTCTGCTCCACTTAGCCCTCCACTCAGTTCCTCCATCTCTTTCCCTGTTGCTCTCTGTGGTTCTCTCCGGCTCTAGCTCATGCGCTGCCCTGTGCTGCTGCTGGCTCTCTCTCTTCCCTGCTGGTCTGCTGCAGCTTTTTGCTCTGGAGCCATGTGATTCCCATTTGCTGTCCATCGTGCTGGGGATGCTGCTTCTACCAGCAAACAGGACTACCTGGATTGTCCACAACAAGCTCATCTCTCTTCTCTTTCCTTCCTCTCTGTTCTCTCTTCTCACCAGCTCGATGATCCACAGCAAATTCACCTCTCCTCCTCCCTGCTATGTTCTCTCACCATTTTATGATTTTACTTAAACATATTTCTATGCTGCTGCAATGACTTAGAAGCTCTATAAATGATTGTTATATTATGTCTAATAGAGTGTTACCCCTGCTGTTGCTACATTAAATAGAGCTGTTCAACTGTGCAGGTCTAATTAAATATAAGTCTCATCATATTTAACACAATAATCTTTGGACTATTCTACATCCTCTATTACATTGGAAGCTTTGAAATTAATGCTTCTTTTTGTTCTTTCTCTCCCCATCCCCATCCCAACAAGGTGAAACCTCTCATCTGGATTGAATCTGTCATTGAGAAGTTCTCTCACAGCCGAGTGGAGATTATGGTTAAGGTGAATTATTTTGAGCAATATCACCATTTCTCTGCAAGACCTCCAGTGTAAAAAAAAAGAAAGAAAGACTAGATCTTAATAAAATGCACACTCTTATGTTTTATTCCTGTAAATGCTCTTGATTGATCCAAATTGGCAAGCATAGAGAGAGATCCAACCTAAAAGTAGGAATAGCTTGCCTCCCAAATTGTGGGTGCTCCATCACTGCAGGTTTTCAGAAATAGACTGGACAACCATTTGACTATGGTGATGCCTCGAGCAGGGGGTTGAAGTAGAAGACTTCTGCAGCCCCTTCCAGCTCTATGATTCTAAATTCTGCAGTATGTTCTATAGCTATGGAATTTGCATAGCCTGCAGAAAAGAGTATGTCTGTCTTCATTGAATAAAAATAAATGAGTCCAAACCATCTTGAGTTTTGGATCTTTCTCTTGTGTCAGAGACTGAATTGATCAGGGAAATGTGTCTTTTTCCATATGTCATTTTTTATTCTGATTTTTTTTCTCTAAAAGGCAAAGGGCCAGTTCAAAAAACAATCAGTGGCCAATGGTGTGGAGATAAGTGTGCCTGTCCCAAGTGATGCTGACTCACCCAAATTCAAAACCAACATTGGCAATGCAAAATATCTGCCTGAAAAGAATACTGTTGTCTGGAACATAAAGTCCTTTCCAGTAAGAAAAAATAACTTTGTTTTTCTCTGATCAGCGTCCTGCATCTTTCATATCAGTAGTACATTCCAATCTGTTAGATTTTTACCAGGAACATTTGGTAAGCTATATGATTCTTTTGCTGAATTTGGAGTAGGATACTATTTTATTAGAGGGAAGTAGTGGCTCAGTGGCTAAGATGCTGAGCTTGTCAATCAGAAAGGTCAGCAGTTTGAAGTCCTAGCACCATGTAACGGAGTGAGCTCCCATTACTTGTCCCAGCTTCTGCCAACCTAGCAGTTCGAAAGCATGTAAAAATGCAAATAGAAAAATAGGGACCACTTTGATGGGAAGGTAACAGCATTTCGTGCGCCTTCAGCGTTTAGTCATGCTGGCCACATGACCATGGAGATGTCTTCGGACAGCGCTGGCTCTTTGGCTTTGTAACGGAGATGAGCACCACCCCCTAGAGCCAGAAACTACTAGTATGTATGTGCAAGGGGAACCTTTACCTTTACTATTTTATTGGAGAGCTCTTAACTGTATATTGAAGTCTCTGACAATTGTAAGAGCCACTGCTAGGTGTTATATAATTGTAAGAGCCACTGCTAGGTGTTATAATAGGTAATGAATTCCTTCCAACTAGATTATAAAGGAGCTTGGGCAGGGGTGGGATTCAAAATTTTTAACAACCGGTTCTGTGGGGGTGGGGTAGGTGGTGGGCATGGCTTGGTGGTCATGTTATTGGCTGGGCATGGCCAACTCAATATCACTCACATCAAGGCACGCATCTCCTCGCCTGGCCTCTCATGATTGTGGGGATGCTGCAACAATTGTAAGTATGAAAAATGGTCATAAGTCACTTTTTTCAATGCCATTATAACTTTGAATGGTCACTCCACACAAGCAAAGTACCAGCAAAGGAGGGGGGGGAAACTCCAGAGATGTTCCTGAGAGAGGAAGTCTAGTCCTGCCAAGAATGTAATAAGGTTTAACGTAGAGGCAGTTTCTGTAAGCAACACCAGAATGTTTCCTTCCTGCCTTCCTTACAGGGTTAGGCCTGTAATTTCTTCTACCAGTTCTCCGAACTGCTTAGAATGTTAACAACCAGTTCTAGCAAATAGGTGCGAACTGGTAGAATCCCACCCCTGAGCTTGGGCTATGATAAAAGCTGGCAATAGTGGTGGTGAAGGTTTGCCTTCTAGTTATAGAGCCAGACTGTGGAAACAATTCGCCAGGAAATCTGGATTCAGATCACCAGGAAAGACTCTTTTTTCTTTGCAGGGTGGTAAAGAATATTTGATGCGAGCCCATTTTGGGCTGCCCAGCGTTGAGAACGAGGAGCTGGAAGGTCGGCCACCCATCTCAGTCCGATTTGAAATCCCCTACTTCACAGTCTCTGGGATTCAAGTAAGCCAGATTTGATGGAGATGTGGGAATTGGGACATTTTTGACCCAGAACTATATAAGATCAGGTGGTATTGAGGAATAGAAAAGAAAGCTAGGATAACTGAAGGTTGTGAGCTGTATAGCCTGCGGATGGTTGCAGTTGAGAACAGGTCACTATTACTAGTTGCTGCAATTTTTTTCACAATTACTCAAATAACTATGCCAAATACATGGGATTATTATCATACTAAGCAGGAGAGGGAAAGATGCTTTGACCACATTATAGTCTGAAGTTAAAATTCAATGGAAGCCTTGAGATGCCATCAAATCTGAATGAATTAAAGATAGTTAATGCACTTCCCTCCTCTTTTCTCTCTCTTATCTATTATCTCAATCTGACCAGGTACGGTACATGAAGATCATTGAAAAGAGTGGGTACCAGGCTTTGCCATGGGTCCGCTATATCACCCAGAGTGGAGGTAAACTTTAAAGCCCATAAAGAACCTGGATTTATATATAGTTACTGACCCCATTCACCCAGCATACTAAATTTAGTATTAAGCACAGTTGTAACATTAACATTTAAATATGCTTCAGACACCAAGAAAATCACCGTTTGCATGACTTACCTAATCTTTCTGATAGCTATCTGAACAATCTTTGCCAACCAACACTTCCTGGTTTGGTTTTGTGCAAAAATCAATATTTAAAAAAATCCCATGCATGTGGGAGTTAATCTGCATGCCATGAAAGAGAACTAATATTTTCCCTAACCCTTTTGTTTATGAAATAATCCTCTGTACTCATAGGAGACACAAATCCAGAACAAATGAAGTGTTCTGCTTTATAGAAATTCCTACACTCACTATCATTTTCCTGAAGGAGGAATGACAAATTTTATCTACCAAGTAGCAATTAATCTAAATTCAGACATAAGATCAATTCAGTAAATATCTTTAAAGTTATTTTCTCCTACCATATCCATTTGTTTTTCTAGAATATGTGTGATTATTTGGCAGAGCTCTAGATTGGAATTTCAAATGTATGGTATCTTATCATATAAGAGACTCTTAAAATAAGAAAATACAATTGTTGCATCTATGCTATCCCCCTTTGGTAGGCCAAATTTGCAGTGTATAAGAAATATCATTACTTATTAGTTCTGATGCCTATGTAGTTTTCCTGGCATCAGAATTGGTATTCAGTGCTGGAGAGTATGAATTGGTGCTAGTATACTCTTTTGCTTGGAGGTTTCCCAGGAATATCTAATAGGCTCTTGCTGAATTAGATAGCCCTTTGTTCCTTCTTATGTTAACTTCTCCTTGATGAGGCTTGTAGCAAGCATTTGATCAAAGTAAAAATTTCTGGGAAAATTGCTGTATCTTGCTATAAGAACATGCTGTTTACAGCCTAATTTTGTCCAAATGTTTCTTCATTTGGACAAAAAAGGTTTTACATAATTCCATAGTGTGTATGCAGTAGTACTTTCACATCCAATATAATGTCCATCATGTTGATCACGTTTGCCTTGATCTAGAGGAAAATTTCCAGATGTTGACTTTAAATAAAACTGTATATTTTCCTGGGGTAATTGTGAGGTTGCCAGATATATAGATAATAATAGTCCTACTCCACAGGGAAAAATTGAGACTTAGTAAGTTTTAAAATTTTTCTATACATAAAAAATTTCATTTTCAGAAAATGTTGCAAGTTCACCTTTGAAAGAGATTCTTGCAGTCAAGGAGATTCTTTGCTACATGGGAACTTAAGTTTAATTTATTTGTTTTTTTTCCCAGATTATCAACTTCGGGCACATTAATTGTATGATTCCACAGAATGGAATGAGAATGAAGAGGTCTGAATGACTTTCAAGAATGAAGAGGTCTGAATGACTTTTAATCCAGGCTCTGTCTGGATCTGATCTTGTATATTTATGTCCTGGCAAAGTGCTGCTTTGGTCCTCATTCCATCCAACCACAGCTTGGGTTGGTAGTTGTTGGACAATTACACCTAAGGTTGATCTGGGTGGGAGAGAATCATAGCCTATTCTTATTCTTCTTGTTGCCTATAATAGCATATATACTGCTTCCTAGCTTGAGTAGAAAAGCCCTCTCTGTTATACTGTGCCTTGCAAGGCTTTTTGGTGAAAAAGCTTTGATGAGTAAAGCCTTTATTCAGAATTTCTCTTTTAGAGAATTCCTGTGACAAAAGAGCAGGTGGGAATTGATCTTGTCTTACTAGTGCCTGAATAGAATTCAGTTCATCCTAAAATGTAAATAAGTTTCTTCAGAGGGAGATTTGTATGCAGGAAGAATGCAATGACAGAAAGAAGAATGTACAATTTTATGGAATCAAGAGCTGCAGTTTTGGATTGAACTCTCAATTTGTACATGAATTTTCTGAAAAATTATGGGACATTCTTAATCTCTGTTCCTTTTTTTGTAAAATAAGAATAGTAGCTGCCTATTTCTTGTTATAAAGACTTAGAAATGTTATTAGAAATGTTGTTAGAAATGTTAGAAATGACTTAATAGTTTTCTTGTTCTTAAAGTATGACAAACTCTAAATGGACAGAAATAAATCTTTTTCAGTAAAATTAGTATTATATTGTGATATTATATTCATCCTTATTTCCTTTTTGTTCCCAACAGATCAGTCTTGCATTTTACTTTTACTCCAGTGTTGAACCCCTGGATTGAGTTTAGAGTTACAGATATGAAATATTTGGGGGAACATGGGCAAAAGCCAGGGCAGCTAACAGTGCTCTCAAGACTCCTGTTGGATTGGAATGGCATCTAAATACTAGCAACAAACAATTATTTGCCTGACCTTATTGAGGCAAAATATGTCAGCTCTGGAAGTTGCTTCCTGGGCAATGTTTTGTTTATCTTACTCCCCTTCAAAGGATGATAAAAACTAGGAACACTGTAGGCAGTTCTGTATGCAAGCAAAAGGTAATAGAAATGATAGAACAAAAAAGTACTTTTTTTGCATTTGTCAATTATTTTTATTTCTCTTCTCCCAACAGCCTTCTTCCTTGGGAGTGATTGGGTTTTGTAATTTCAAACACAATAATTGGAACTGCAGGATAAGCAGATAATGATATTATGATGGTCCTCAACCTTTTATTATTATCGTTGTCATTTGACTATCTATTATCCTACAAATGAATGTATATATAGGCAGATATATATAGTATGTAATTTCTCTTTTACAGAATGATAGAATTAGAAGGGACTTAATCCAATTCATAGCTCAATACAAGATTCATTAAACCTTGCCTGAGAGCATGTTGAAAACCTCCAGTGAAGGGGAAGAAATTACTTCAGGCAGTAATTTATTCTAACAATTGGCAGTTCTTACTGCCAAGTTCTTCCTAATATCTGATTGGTATCTACATCCTTACGTTAGTTCTAATCCTACTCTTAGAGCAAGTGAGAATCTAAGCCCCCTACAGCGTGATAGTCTTCAGATATTTGAAAACCTGCCTTATTTCAATCTTCTTCTAACTGTTCCTCATAGAATTTGCTTTCCAGTCCTTTCATCATCATGGTAGCCCTTCTTTGAACTTGCTCTAGTTTATTAATATCTTACAAGTTACAAGCTTAGCTAAGTTGTTTAATGTTAAAACAAAGCCTACATAAAAGATTTTCCAAAAAAGGATTTGTTACTCTGCAATTTAAAATATAATTGCACTTGTTTTATAAAGCAAAATAGAATACTTGCTTGGTGGATATACCTTTTTCTTAATCTATTGAGAAACTAATTATAGGCTAATACTTATTACTCTGGCTGAAGAGATTTGTTTTGAGCGTTAACACTAAATGGAGGTCCCAATTCTTTTGTTCTGTTGGGAGAAATATCCATCTAGTTCAGTTCAAGCCAGGAGAAAGGCATGGAGACAAAATGGAGGCTGGAGGCTGATTGGAAAAAGGGTTCATTTATCGATCAGCAGAACTACA